AACGACATGTTGTTTAAAACTTTTTCAAACGAGTAAACGAGATTTCTTAATATACATGCATATGTATTTCATGTATTTTATCTTCCTTTTTTGGTATAAAAGTTTCAATTACATATGAATGACTATAACATCTTTTTAATGAAAGTTCTTAAATAAAAAAATATATAAATCAATATTTTATATGTTTAATTATTATATAATAATTTAATTAATAGTACTAGTTAATAATTTTTATAAAAAATTTATTAATAATATGGTAATATTTTAATATAATTATATTAAATGTATTACATATGTTAAAAATATTCATATGATAATATGCAATAGCAAACAATTTTCATTATAATCATATGTTTACACATCACAAGTATTTTTAGTAATAATTTATTTTCTTTCTTTTTGTTTTTATTTAAAAATCCATCCTGTTTAGGAATAAAGCTTAATTAAGCATAATAATAATTAAGCATAAACGTATTTTTATTCATCATTGCGAGAACTGGATTTCTCAAACAAAAGATACATGAATCAAGATAATAATTTCTCTGTACTTCTAAAATACCTTCTAGAAATAGAAATCATTTTCTCTTGTTTAACATGTATTTTCTATTAAAATGCAACAAAAGCAACCCAGTTAAGGATTTCTAGATATAACATATCCGCCATAACTTTGAATTTTCCCGAAATTTCCGTGTCACCGTGTTACTTTCACGAGCTGCATGTAACAAGCATAAGCGCCTTTCACATCATCAATATGTATTACAGTACCGTTCAGAAAAAAGATGTACAATAGCAATTTTATATACATATATTCATATGCAGATTACATTTTGTACTTCCTGTCGTATAACTAAATATATATAATTTAATTCCAAAAGTCTCATACAAGACAAGAATTGGGTAAATTGCTTTGAAATTTCTAGTTCTCGTTTTTTAATAAAATTTTAAATAAATAATTGTATTGTGACAAATGAAAATTTTATTTAATTATATTATATTTTAATAAAAAGAGAGGAAAAGATTATTATAATAGAAATATATTAAATATTAGATATGTGGCAAATTACTTAAAAATGATTTTTAAAAAAGATTCTGCAGATTAGCAATAAGCAATTTTTATTTTGACAATAATTATTTAATAATACAATAAATACATTCTTTAATATTTAGGTGAAGTAATAGTATTGATAGTTTAAGTTAAAGATATACTAAGAAATTCTCAGGAATATGCATAATTTGGAAATCAACAATAGTTTAAAGTTTCAAAACATCTAAATGACAGTGAGATAGAGTTGGACATACATATATATGACATTTAGAAACATTAACATTAACTGAATTACCCTTTTGAAGCATGTAGATAGCAATAATGAAACCACGTTTCACAGAAGTAATTGAATAACAATATTACAGTTAGCAACCACTCTTGCAAGTCATTTAGGCATTAATAATGACCAAACCACACTTCAGATACAACAAAAATAGCAGGTAGTATCTTCTGTCATATATAAATAAAATTAATCAACCACTCATTGTTAAAATATTTTCAATTTTTAAATTAATTTTCAAGAATAATTAAACGAATGGCATAGATTATCAAATCACATAGCAATATTTAACATGAGTTAGAAAAATTATATTTTTTCAATACATTTTTAATTTAGATATCTTTTAAAAAATAAATAACTATCATTAATAATAGCATATTTCAATATGTTTCGTTTAATACAATATTAAAATAATAAACTACAAAATTTAAATTATATTTCTATGAATTTTATAATGTATATTTTTTTTGTTTATATAAAAATATTTATACATTATGCTATCATAAATTAACTAGTATTTTTTCTAGCAAAAAATATATTAAATTTTTCTCACGTTATCCATTTATTTCATTTCTGATTTTAATTATGAGATAACGACCTCCAACTATTTATCATAAAAACTAATTTAACACTTATATATTTTTCCTTAAAATCAAATATTATAAATCACCTACTAAAGTATCCAATAATGCCATTTTACACGAAAATGCCATTTAACGAGAAAAAAAATTTCAAAGAAGGAAATCAAAATTCAGAGAACGACAGATAAAACGTTAGAGAGAAAAAATGCGATGTAGATGTGACATACCTTGTCCATGCCTGTCCTTGTCCATTTCTCCCTGATTTGGCTAAGAGTGGTGTCACGATCCCCTCGGATCACTGCATCACGAAACTTTCCAACTTCGATCGATCTCGGATCTCGTACGTTTGCACGAATTATTTCCAAACGTTGTGCGCATCTGTCGTACTCGAGGACGAGAACGTGCAAGAGCGTGGAGATGAATTTTACGTGTTTATCAAAAGGAAAGGCAGAGAGAGATATAGCGCGTAAGACAGAGAGACAAAGGGATAGATAAAAAGAGAAAGAGAGACGGTGAAAAAGGAGGCAGCCGACACCTTTGACAAACAGCGCAGAAAATCATGCAGATCAGCCGGCGCACATCCTGCGATATTTATATCTAATCAAATTAATCGACCGAGCCAATGTTGCTGCTGCACATCCAATAACGTGACTTCTTTTTCTTTTTTTTCTATATTTTTTCACTTTCTATCGAAATCCGGTATCCAAACTGCTAGGGAGGATTCATAAGAGTCAGCCTTATCTAATTAACAAAAAAGTTGTTACAGTTAATTAATCAAACGCTGGTGAATCCAATTCGTTGAGATCTCTCCACCAATCACGGATTAATTTCTCGAGAATCTGGAAAAGGATTCGCATATTTTATCGTTACAAAACAAAATGAGAAAGATTTCCATTTCCTTCACTGCAAAACGCATCCAAGTTGATTATTCATCTGTTCAACGAACGAAGAATGGTTAATAAAGTTTCACGCTTCTCTTCTGCTACCCATTCGTGCACGGAACGATCACTGTCACGGAGCTCGAAATTGAATTTACGATTCTTATTTGAACATTCCCTCCGCATATGGGTGGTGAAATGATACGATAAATAATTTTGACATAGAACAGATAACGCTCCCGTTTCGTGAGCGAGATATCCGTCGCACGAAATAGAGGAAGAGGAGCGTCGCGACGTGAGCTCTTCGTGCTGCTCGAGCAGTTGTTGACATCGTTAACAATGGATACCCTTGAATCGTCTTCCATCCCTCCACGAAAGTTTCGAAAGTTTTATTTCTCTCTGAGAATCCTTCCAGATATAATTGAAATATCGGTTTTTAATTTTATCTTCGAATCGTTTCTTCAATTTTCAATGTTTTCATCAATTTTGTGATGTTTTTTTTATTTTCTTATTCAATTTGTCAGATATTAATATGATAGCATATTATTTTAATTAAATTTTTTTATCATTTTCTTACAAACAAACGATATATCTCTTTACTCTTTTGAAGAAATTTTGTGCCGAAATAATTCTTAATTAAAAGTGGAATATTCTTTTGCTAAATTACGTATGAGAATTCTATTCCATAATTAGAAATTTAATAAGCTCGAATTTAATGTTTGATAACGCGTAAGAAAATACGCATAAACTATAGAAGATTAAGGAAATAACAAAATGAGTATTAATAGCTTTATAAGATGTAATAAAAACTAATACCAAAAGATTTCATTAAAGTTCTTAATTGATCACTATACGATGAAAAGTACGAATAAATTTTATTCTTACGCAGAACAATGGAAGGAAAACTAGATGAGAAACGAAATTGAATGATAAATTTTACTGCGCAAATTTTCCGAGGATCTTCTTGCATAAAGTTTTGCTGCGAAAGGATCACGTTTGAAGAGCATGGTTTCTTTTTGGTAGTTTAAAAAACGCAATAACTTGAGAAACATGTGCATTAATGGGCGAAAACGTTTCTCTAAATTTCTTTTTTCTCCCTTTTTAGGCAAGTTTTCTCCACTGTAAGAATAGAACTCAAACCGGTTCTCCAGGATAAATATAAACAGGGTTATAAACTTCCGCCTCGTAACGAGCACAGAAATTCACTGTCTAATTAAGAAAATATTATTCCAAAGCTGGTAAATCCCTTTTTGATACACCTACCCCACTAACTGTCATTTTTAAGAAAGAGGGTAATTGCGAAGTTTTGGGTTACGCTGTGAGGAACGGGTTAACTCGTTCGAGAAGTGGCTTTAATTTCTGAATCTTTAATTATGCGGATGAAGAAAGGAAGAAACCGTGAATTTGAGAAATTTGTCATTCCCACGAAGAATCGTTCTACTTTCTACACCTATCTATACTACATTCAAGATAAATTGTACTTCTCGAGGTACGAGGAATGAAAGGCGACAATTAGGAGATAATTGGTAACATACATAGTATGTTTTTTTTAAGATTACCACAAACTTCAAAAAATTCATATATTTTTAATTTTAATTAAGAGTTATTTAATCGACACAAAAATCTCACGATTGTGACAAATGATATTGATCGAATATAAAAAAAAAAAGCCAATCTACACATCTTTATCGAAATCAAAGAAAATTGAAATATGAACCAGTGAAAGAACAACGAATCGAGGGAAAAAGGATCTTTTTTCGCCCCTCTTTAATTCCCCTTCATACGCACCAACGCGAAGAGAAAGACGTAGAGCGCGTGCACAGCCCCTCAATCCTCGACATGAATTTCAAAAAGCGGTATATACGCCACACGATCAAAGAGTAGCAGTTGTCAGGGTGGCGAGGAGTGGTAGAGGGGAAACCGCAACATCTCGAGCGTACAGCGGTGGAAGTGATTCAAGGGTACCGTTGCCGGATCCACATGTATACGCGTACAAACGATCTGGGACAAAAAAGTGATATACGATGAGGAATAAAACGGAGAGAAGAGTTGCGTGTCGAAAGCCTAAGAGCGGGAATCTAGATTGTGGGAATCGCGGCGCGTGGCGCGGGAAAATTCGATTTTGGATTCGCGCGGTTTGATCTCGCGTGGGCGGGAGAAAATGTATACTCCACGGGCAAGATGCAACTCGACGGAATGACAGTGGCCTACTGAAGGGGCGATGCAACGCGCGCCACAAGGGGAACCCCGCGAAAATTAGAGATGCGTGCGCATCACGCGCCTCCATCTGAGCCGACGCGTAAAGCTTCGTTCACAATACGCTTCGCAGTTGATCCCTGGGATGGAGGTAAGTATATTTTTTTTTTTTTAACAATGAGTTTATATTTTCTTTTATTTATTGATCGTTATTTTTGTAGATATAATAAATGTTGCCAATGAGCAATGCAAATAGATCGAAAGGACCACATTACATGACTGGAATTTATTTGATGATGAAATTTTCCAAATATTTTCATATAAGAACTTTATAATAAGAACCACTGTTGACAGGAACAAGTAAATTTGGTTAGTCAAACAGACAAAGTTCTGATCGTCTCATCTATTCCCTACCTAAAGTTTTCTTAATATATATATATATATTACCTTGAATATAAGCTTCCGTTGAGCTACTTGCTCAAGACACTAGGACGTTCGATCGGTGAAACAACTGCATAAGCATTTCCAAGCCTATTTGGCACTGAGATACTTTTAAAGCGGCTAGATCACTTTCGTATCAAAATGAATTATAAATTCATCAATTTCAAATCACATTTTATATTTAAAAGAATTATTGTTTTGTGAAAATATAATTTTCTTTTTGAAATCAATTATCGTATCTATTATGCGTATATAAAATATATGTAATACTGCATTAATTTTATATTGCAGGTATTCATCCATAGAAATCACATAAATACAGAATTCCAATATATGAAATATTTGCAACATTTAAATCCACGTTTCTTTTTCATCAATTTCTCAAACATATCCAAGTAAATCCATACGAAGTTGAAAATAGATTCTTCCATATAGGTCAGTAAAAATATTCGCTAAAAATATCGCTCTCTTGAATCCTCGATACATTCCTTGTCCTTGACATTCGATTCTCTCTTGAATTCTCAAGAAATTGTAACTTCTTTAATCAGTATATATAACAAATCGTGCCATCAAAAGTTTAAAATCTGTCGTGAGGCGCGAATCAAATCAAATGGAAGTCAAATGGCGGAAATACTGTCGACCATATAACGCGTTGTAAAGTCATTTTCTGGTTTAGAAAACCGACAACCGGTATCGTTTCCCGAATCCTCTTTTTCCCTAAGTCGGAATATAGGGAAAATTCAAAATAATACTGTAATCTGTTTTCACGCAATAAACTATAAAAGTTTACTAATTATTCATCGCGAACGAAATTTCTATTTTTTTAACTTCTATTAATAATAAGTAAAAATAATATAATCTAAAAATCTTCAAAACTTTTAATTTGATTAACTTTTAAACATTTCAGTAAAATCTATATTGCTAATGCCCATATTTCATTTATGAAAATGAAATATCAATTCGCATTCTTTGAATCGTTATATCCCTTTGAGCTTCACTCAATGAAAAAGATATTCCTATAATCAATGTATAAATCTGTGAAAGGACTTCTGTCGTAAGACGATGTTCGAAAGAAGAAAAATAAATTTTCTTTTTTTAGATTTCAAAATGATTTCTCGTTACAATAATCGAAGCTGAAACAATATCGAGAAAAGTTTTCGCAATTTTCACAGTGAATGTCATTATTGACAAAAAAATATGAAATATCGCTTTCATATCGCTATCCCATTGTCGTTATCAGTTTTTTCTTCAGTTTATTACAACGATGAAAATAAAACGCGTCGATACACTGTTTTAATAGGAAAGTTATTGGTATATCGCTTGTTAATATATATTGTTATATACAAGTTCAAACAATGAATAAAAAAAATCTACGTAAATATTATTATTTCAACAATTTTTTACAACTATAGATACAATTATGGATTAATATTTTATCGTATTTTATTAATTGATATAAGTTATCGATGTTAAAAAATTTTGATAATAAAACAAGTGAGATTTTACAAATAAATTTAAATAATTATTATTTAACACAGAATTGTTAAATTGTAAAAAATAAATCTATAGTATACAGCTTGTGATTTATCATAATCATAAATATTAATTGATAAATTATTATATGAAGTAATTATAATGTAACAATTTTATAGAATTTTTTAAAAATTTTCGAAGATTTATATATTAGAATATAATTGTTAAGATATTAAAATATTAAATATTTAATTACAACATTTTATAACAATATTAATTTATACAATAATTAATCAGTGATTGATATAATAATAAATTTAGCATATTGTTATCTATGCAATGATTAGATTTAATGATATACAATACATAAACTATATCTGAAATAACATGAATATCTGAAATACAATAATTTAATCCTCGTCCTTACTATGTATTGAATTATAAATAATAAATTTCTAATTGTGAAATACATATAACATTTAAAAAAAATCTAAAAAGAATTTATGTAACAATTGAAATGAACAAATGATTGAACATTCTCCAACAAAAGAATATAATGTAAAGAATATACAAAAAATAAAATTAATTCAAAAACTATAAATATAAATATCAATAGATCGATAAAAATATTAATTTTATCAATGATATGTTTTATAGAAATGATATCTCGTTAAAAAATTGATAAACGCTCATGCGATGATACCAATCTTTTCTTAATAATAGAAGATCCATGAATCTTTTAAACACGTATTATTTATATCCATTTTTTACAAATCGCAATTACTTGCAGTACGCCTGTATTTCGATATACCACGCTATCGTATCAACTTTTATAGCGAAGGCGAAACTTTCAAAGAACAAACTTGAACCCGTTTCGAACCTCTCCAATACCTGGTGCCCACACTTCTTTAAAAAAAAAATGTATCAAGGACTTTCCACCGTAGATTGTAAAAGATGCTTGGGAAAGTTACAAGATATATAGGTTATCCCGCACAATTGAGTAAAGTTAAATTCTTGGAATTTTTGCCGGAACAAATATGTACGACACAAATATGTAGAAATATTTCCATATGTCTATAATTTTATTGTGCTTGTGATATAAATCTAGACAAATTTTATTTTTTTTATCTTTATGACAATATTAATATCATTATATACAATATCATTTTGTAGTGTTTAGAATTTCATTAATATCAAAAAATTGTTTCATTGTTATTTTAACTCTTATTTCTTTTTTTAAGACATAAGAATTACATCTTTTAATAAAAAAAAAGTTTGACCTGTTTTAATAATATAACAAACTAATTACGTGAAATGGTTTTTGTGTACGATGATCTATAAGGGAATGTATAATGAAGCAAGAAGAATGGATAATCGCAAAATTGAGGAAAGTGAATTAGAAATCGATTTCATGAAATATTTATCGGTAAGATATTTATAACGGTAACTAGTTATACGCATAATTTAATCTATATCAAAAACTAAATAAAACAATCTACGAAGAACGCAATATCTATAACACGTTAAACTTGTTTATCTTTAAACAAAATCTAAACACGTCCCTTTATAAATAAACGCGCTAATAATCAAAAGCAATATTCTTAAATAAGAACAGTAAACAACTGCGACAAAATTATAATATTTTCATCTCATTTTAACTTCAAACTTCAAACACCAGAGCGTTAAATTGAAAGTAATTTAATTTTTCACAATTTATTAACATCCCAAACGAAAACGAGAAAAACTCATCTTTAACATCCACGTGACAATTACAAATAATTTAAAAATATTTAAATTCCTAATTTTTATTACATTTCGAGAAAAAAAAATAAAATAGACGTATATATATTTCGAATTCTCCACAAGAAGATCGTATCAGAAAAAAATTCTAAATCATCCAAGGTCGACATCTCTCACTTTCAATTTCCTCCAAGAGGACTCTCCACATCGACCAACCTAATCAAAAGGGGGAGGAAAGGAACGTGAAGTACCGCAAATACTCCAACGACGAGGAGAGATCGAGCGGGTGTAACGCGAATTTTCTAATCGAAATAATATTCCGAGGCCACAGCAAGTTGGCCACCCCGAGGTATATCCGAACGACGAAGATTGCTGAACGTCAGAAGCGACCCCAGGATGGGAAAGGAAGAGGGGAGAGAAGGGTGAGACAACCGTGGGCCCTAGATATTAATACGTATACACGACGCCTGTTCACTTTGTCGACCAGTCGCGTGTAAGATCGGCTCTATCGTTACGGCTACACCCTCCAACACACAACACTTTGTCCCTGTTGCAAGGTGAAATGCTAACTAAAGGGGATGTTTTAATGGCAGCGATAATAATATGACGCGGTGCCTCCGGCTATTCCTAGATGCGGTGAAAGCGCATCGTGTGTGTCTTCTGGAGGAAGAAAAGAGAGAGCGACAGAATATCTAAGTAATCGAATCGAAAGATCCTCTTCCTTCTTCTTTTCTAATTTCATTTTTATTTTATTTTTCTCTCTTCCTTTCTCTCTCACCTTTCTCTTTCGCGTGATTCCCGTTTCATTTTCTCGTTCGTGAACGATTTTATTTCCACGCAGCTCACCATCCGCTATTGGCGGATTGCTGCATAAAATCCGGTTCAATGAGTTTTCAAAAGGGGAGGCGCGATTAGGCGCGCCGTGAAAGAGGCGCGCGCTATCGAAAAACCTGCGATTAAAATGAGCCGGATCATCGAGACTGTCGGATAGAAAACGCGTCTACGACGTGACTTGGCCGTGATCCACGGGACTTTGGGATTTTTTTTTATAGTTTTATTGAAAGGGAATGGCAAGTGGGATACATCGTATTAAAATTAATTTGAAAAAAATAATGTTTTTATTTGTTACTTCGAATTTTTGTATAAATATTTCGAGAAATGAAATTACGTAGGATATTCCGTTGTTATTAACAACATTCTTATGCCAATTTTATAATTATCAGGTAACGTTTTATATATCACGTATCTACGTCATCTGAGTTATACAATAGCTGTGTTGATAGTTCATAATGCATATGATATTAATTATAGATTACTTATCTTTAACAGGTTAATTAAAAATAGAGTATTTTTAATTCGTCGTCGTTTTTAAATCATCTCAATCGACTTTGTTTATTCTTTTTGCAATATGTATTATGCTAGATAAATATTTATACCAATATTTATATATTTATATATTATATATTTATATATTATATTTATATATTATATTTATATATTATATATTTATATATTTATATATTATACCAATATTTTACAGAAATATAACTTATAATTTATGCAATATTACAGAAAAGAACATTTTTCAGGAGATGAAAAAAATTTCACTTTGTTAAACTAATATCATTGTTAAAGTGATAAATTTTCTTCTAAGCAAAACACATCAGATTATTTCTTTTCACGTTAATGAAAGTACTAATCATAAAGAAAATTTCATGCCTCTTTCTTCATGTACTTCACCAACGCCTCGCTATTTTCCTATATTTATCCCAGCAGAGACTCGAGAGTAACTAAGGGACTCACACACCTATATATCTACGTACACGAACGTGATACTACTTGGATACTGATAGACTTAAAACGTTCCCTAAAAGCTTCCCGTCCACGATTCCGTCTGAAGCCATCCCCTTCAAGTGGCTTTTATATTCTTAGCAGCACGAAAAAACACCCTCTCCATGCACAATAGGAAAGCCCATGGTCGACAACTCGTTCAAGATCAACAATGCTCGCGTCGCGTTGTCTAAACAATGAATGGATTTGCAAACATAAGACCAAACGAGGAAATAAAACTCGAATTTTGAAAGCAATTCAAGATACGTAGATCTTGAATTCAAATTTGAAATCTTATCCAATAAGATTTATCTAAAAGATCCATCATATTGAGATGATTCATAAGTTTGTGCAATAGGTTGATAGGAGAAATAAAATTATTTTTTCCTGTTCGTGATAACGAATTTGTCGATCATTAAAAATAACATTTGTAATTTGAATATTGAAATTTGAATTTGATTGGTAGATTTTTTAAAGTACTATGAACTATTTAAAAATTATTATTTTCATTGGTTTTATAAATTTTTGTTCAGTAATTTATTTTTGTAATTTTATTTTCAGGAAATGATGCTTCCTCGATGGAGAAGATTAATTAAGATTAATTTGAAGAAGATATCATTCCCCAAGAATTTTTAATTTGCTCATTATGAACATCATTTTAAAATACCAATTTATAATATAAGATTAAAGAGAAATATAAAATTTAATAAATCAAGAATATGAAATTAATTTGAATTCTGTTCTGTCTCGTGAAGTAAGTATACGAATTAATACATTGCACATAAAAAAAATTAAATAAAACTAAAACGAAATTAAATTTGTAATAAATTCAATAACATAATCAAATATATCCAGAAAAACTTTGAAATAAAAATAGAAATGTACAATACTTACAACGCATTTTATATTTTTATAACTTTTTAATGAAGCATTTATGAACTTTCTATTACATAACATTTTATTCTTTCACATTTTTGATATAACTTCTTAATAAACCACTTATGAAATTTCTATCTATATTGTAATTATTTTTAATTATTTTTATAGAGATGGGAAAGTTTATAAAAAAAAAAAAAACCTAGAACATCCACTGTTCAATAACTCGTTCCTCGGAAGTGGAAAAATTTTGCAAGAAGTGTTCCCAACGAATAAACGTGGAATTGGTTGTACGGGATCACGATTTCATCGCGACAGGTTGGGACGTGAAAAATGGGAGAGACAAAAAGAAAACGAGAAGGGAAAAAAGAAGAAAAAACGAGGCGCGAAATAGAAGGAGATTTCACAAAACGTTCGAACCTGTATTCAGGACTCGTGTATGAAAGTGCTCTCTTTCATGCATTCCAGCTGACCTCCAGTGGCATTATTAACGTTAAAAATGGACTGCGAATACAACGATTTTAAACTCGTATCGCGACAGAGTAAAGAAAAATCACTTTGATCTGGAAAGTCGCATTTCCCCCTTTGTGTGTCGTTTTCGGTAAGTGTAATTGAAAGGAAAATGAACCAACCTGAGAAATGATCATTTAGTTCGGTTTCTCCTGTGTTTTGAAGAAAAAGTTTTAAAAGTCGAATCGAAGAAGATAGATAACTAGTTATACGTAATTTTAAAACTTTTATTTCTCATGATAAAGAATTCGGAGAAGAGAAGAGAAAGGAAATAAAGAATTGAAGAGATTTAAAAGCTGATCGACGAGTTTTATGTTATTTTGAAATGATGTTGCATTGGAATAATATTGATGGAAATAAGAAATTTGAAAGAAATTCGAAAAGTTACTAATGACATTTTTATGTTAAATAATTTAAAGTGATATTTGTCGAGCGTTTAAGCGTTATTGAATGCTCAACAAATATTGAAAATTTGTTTGAAATTATATTTCAATCTAGATAAATGAAAAGATTGACGAAATTTTAAAAGATGCGCGCATGCAATTTTAATTTATGAAAATTAATTTTGAATTGATTTTAAATTGATTTAAATTTGAGAAAATATAAAAAAAAATAAGATAAATCTATTTTATGATAAGTTATATAAAAATTTTATAATTTTGCAAAATTCTAAATATGGAAAAAATTATTATTAATTTCATAATTAATTTTACAGATTTAATTTTTAAATTTTTATTACATGATAATTAAATAATGAATATTAAATGTACGAATTATCTAATTAACAATTATATTTCAAATTGAAGAAATGTTATCTTTGCAATTATATAAAATTTAAAGTGGAATTATATTTGCACAAATACTATTTTTTTTTAACGCAATATATTGAGAAACCCATTTTGTTAATTTAAATTTTATTTGTTGCAGCTTAAAATATGCTCATCATTGATAAAAAAATATAATGGCTCGTTTAAAAAAATATAGAAGTGATCTTGGAATTTCTTTTACATCCCCATACTAAGCTGTCTCCATCGTATAATACTTTTCTCAGTACTTTTGAAGGGAACATTCTTTATATCATTCGAGGTAAGAATGGGGTAGTCAGATAAAGCTATTCCTTCACCCTAAAAACAATTTGTGTAAAATATGTGCTTGAAAATGAATTTAATATATCATATCTATGAAAACCAGAAAAATTATTCTAGATCGAATAACACACTTCAATAAACATCCCATATTTCTTCTAAACAATATTTCATAGTTTAAAATCACTTAGGTTAAATCATTATAATTATAAGGATGAAATTTATTATACGTATGCTTAAAAAGGAAAAAATATTTAAAAAGAATCATTAAATATAAAAATATTTATAATGTCATACAATTTTTAAATATAATAATGATTTTTTATTGATCAATAGATCCAGATTGTAAATCTTTATTACGAATATTAAAAATATTAAATATTTTTAATAAAATTTTAATGAAAATCACTACGAAAAATTACCAAAAAGGTATAAAATTTTACATATAATGAATTGAATTTTGAAAAAAAATTAAATTGAACTATTTTGATTCTCAAAACAAATTTCTTTCTAGATCTGAAACCAAACTTGTTTGTCTTTCTTTCATTAAGTCAGCGATTAATTGAAGAGTTCTACTGTATTTCAATAGGGAAATGACAACTTTTCGAATCTACATCTTCATTATTATTCCTTTCCACTTCGGATTTAATTCGCAAACGGGTAAAAACGAATTCGAAGCGGATACAAAAGTGTTCGATTCCAAGTCGCAATTAAAACCAACTCGTCGAAGCAGTGAACACCAATCAATGAAACGTTTGGAAAAATCATGAGGATTCTCTTTTCGTTTTGGCAGTCAATCGTTTTCGTGACAAAGCTTTTAAATTCATGAATGAAAATCTCGTTTTTTTAGGATTTTTTTAATAAACTCGTAAAAAACTTGCTTTATTTGTATATTTTTATCTATCTATTGAAGATAATAATATAGAGAATAAAATCATAATTTTGAAAAAGATAAATTATATTTTCAAAAATTTCTTGAATATAAATATTTTAAGGATAAATATCAATCTTTTCTTGAAATTCAAAAGAAAAACAATTAATATCCAAATTCTTTTATATCCTGGTTCAAGAATGAATAGATAATGTATAAAAATTTAAATTATAATATAATAAATAAAAATATATCTAACTTTTCTTAATCGATATTATGAAGGTCTCACTATTCTTTTCCAGTTTATTAACCAGATAAAATTTACGACGATCACACAATAGAATAAGAAAGACTACACCTCTAAACATGATAAGAGTTCGTACATCCATTGATTTAATTATTAATAAAGAATAATCGCATCGATTTGGTTCATTTTTCGAGATTAAACAAAAGAATTAGCATTCTAGCTTTTGAACAGATAGTGAATCGAAATCAATAGAAGGTCAACGACCGAAGACAAAGTGGAAAAAAGAAAATAGCCCTATACCTTCATTCCTCCTGTGATTGTCCTTCTTCCCTCACCATGGCTGATAAATGAAGCTTTTGCTGAATTGGATTGCGTATCTCGTTTTCGTGCGACATCCGTCTAATTGGATAGCACACATTGGATGTTTTTGCAATTTAATCGAACCTGCCTTTTTGCTGTTTTTTGTCTCGATAAGAATTATGAAAGATGCGTAGTTAAGTAATTCGTAATTAAAGGATTACTGAATTTCGGCGATCGTGATCGAGAAAGATTATTGTGGACAAAAAGTTTGCAAAATTTTACGATTACATCATTTATAATTTGCATACAATTAATGATTTTGTAATATTATAAAATTATTGATAGTAAGAATACAGCTTTTTTACATTAAATTTTATTAAATTTGCATTTTGGTATCAATCAATCGTGTATCTAAAATGGTATATACGAGTACGTAAAAAGTACGTCTTGAAAAGTTTTTATTGAACAAGTGACATTGATGAGTTACTGAACGTTTTCTGCCTATCTAGCTAGCTGAGTTTGCTGGATGGTCGAAAATTTCTTTATGTAAAAATATTTTTAATAAATTTAATGGAAAAATTTTTGTTATTAAATTTTCATGAAAATCGTTGTATTCTTTTTTATAATAAAGCAAAAACATAATATTTTAATTAAAGAAACAACAAAAATTAAAATTCAGATAAAGGGAAATAAAATAGCATCAACAAATAACAAATAACGTGAAATATAATCGATATTTATTATTTTTAATAACAGCTTAACTCGTCGTTCGTTCTAAATCATCGAATTACCAGGCTAAATTACAAGAATTTTAGGTGATAGATTTTTCAAAATCCTTGTAACTATAGAGGACCTATATACGTTCGACAATCCATCTTTCGACCAGTGTGCCGAATGCAATAGCATCCCGTTCAATAATTCAACTGTCGCCATATATCGAGATCATTCTTCATTCTCGATATAACATCCCTCGTGTAAAATTATGGTAAAAGCAGATCGTATTGAATTGCATCCGAGTAAAATTGCAAAGTTGTCGCGCCATTGAAAGATAAATCAATTATTGCATGGCGAGATTGTTTCGAGATAACATTCGTTAATTTCTGTATTTTTTTCACATCTGTTTACTCCATTTTAACAATGCGAACGAATGAAACACTCGTTGCATTAATAAGATGGTTCAGAGGTAAGAAGTTTCACAATTTACAGAGGTAACTGGGTTGTTTCGCATTTTAAGAGAGAGTCTCCTTCCTACGAGGAATTTTAGTAATTTGCATTTAATATTTTGTATCTAGTAAGATAAATTAATCTTTAAGAAGAATGCTTCTGTTATTACAATTATGAAAATTGCATAATATAAGTAGCATATTAAAAATGGAATAAAGAATTAAATAAAAGAAGATAAATATTATGATGAGAAAATATTTTCTTTTTTGGAATATCATAATTATGTATTTATCATAATTGTTTGCTTAATTATTTTTAGTAATACTTTATTTATATTAATTTTGTTTAAATAAGAAAGATTTAAATAACATTAATAATTAATAATAATATATAAAATAATAATAATAATAATTTCAATAAAATGCAAAAAAAAGTATTAAATTTTATTAAGAAAACTCAATATTTTTTTAATGAATTAAGTAATTAAGTAAAATAATAAAAAAAACATATATATAAAAGAAAAATAAATTCTAAATTCACATATATTGTATTATGAATTGATTAAATCACAATGAATTAAAAAATTAAAAAAATCCCATTAAGAGAAAATCAATGCTTCTAGAATTAATTCCAACGTTCCAGATTCCGGAATATGAACTATGTCATCCAATTCATTCCTTCTTTATTCAATCAAAAAGTCGATCTATTGAGTATTTCTTTCTTCCCATGTGCATATTAAAATTTACTGGTATTTCTTTCAAAAACTTCCAATAGATAATCTGACAAAAGTATTTCGAACAAAAATTAATCAAATTTAAAATTAAACTTTACTAATTTAAATTTTTGATACATTATTTTTGATTCATTGCATCTGATATTGATATTAAAATAGATTCAATGAATAGATGATCTTTAAATACCAATAATTTTTTTTTTGATTATAATCTTTTTTTTTTTTTTTAATCTTTGATTTTAAATACCAATAATTCACTTCTCAATTATTATTTTTAATTGAAATAGTCAACAAATAAAAATTTTCAGAAAAGCTACTGATCAAAGAATTAAAAAAAAAGCTTTTGAATATTACTTTCATTTTCCAAAGATTTATTGTATAATAAAATTAAATATTCCTTTCATGTATCTTTTTTCAGTTGCTGTCCTAAATTTTCTGAGATTGCATGCAGAAGAAGAAAAGACACATGAAGTTGGCAGATTAGGAAGAAGCATATTATTGTTCCCAAAATATTGCAACCGCTTGACGAAGGATTCACGAAAGCGCGTATACAGGAGATCTCATTAAAGCGCACAGCTTGACCCCGTATTATTAATTGCACCACAGTAAAGGACCCGACGAAAGAGAATCATAGAAAAAGAAAGACCCGTCGAAAGTGAAAATGGCTCACTTGTGCACGTCCTCTCGTCGAGTATGAACGCGAATTAAGGACTGAATTGTCTTCTACGATTTCGAACACTCTTTTAAGATAACGATACACGGTAAATTTGTGTCGAAAATGCAAATCTTATTGAAAGATTTTATTATTTTATATATTATGATAAATACATTTAGATATAAATAAGGATAAGAATAAAATAATTATATAATGTGCATCTTTTTGATTTAAAAATTACATTTAGATATTTATGAAAGAAATTGCATGATTTGTAATATTTTATGATTATAATTATTATATATCGTATATTTTAAAATATTTATATATTTATATATATATTTTTTATAATATAAAATTATATACAATTATAAAAATGGAACTTAAATAGAAATCTGTTTTACTTTTTAAATACTATAATGTATATTTTATTTTAAATATTTTATGCTTGTAGTATTATTTGTATTTTGTTCATTTTTCATAAATACAAAATCAATACAAAACATAATACAAAATCAAATTGATCAGTTCTACTTTTTTAAAAATTCTTAATATCATTATTTATATTATTTTTCAACTTTTCAGAAATCAAAAGATTAGACAGATTGGATTTTTGTATGACTTAAATATTCGATGTCGTAAGTAAATACATTTACTTAATAAGAAATTTATACAAGACGCGATTCCGCATAACCACGAGATGTCGTCGAGTTTAATTAATTGTCACCTCGGTAGTCGTTATTTTAATACTTGGTTTCTAACATTAAACAATTTGCATTCCTATATTAAATAAACTGTCAACTGAATTAAACAAGCAAAAGTAATTAAAAGCTTGCAATTAAATTGCAAGGAGGTTAATAAGAATTTGCTCAAACAAAATTCTCTCAAAGACAATGTAAAACTAAATTGAATATTGTTATTAAATAAATGTTGCTGAATATTGAGCAACAATTTGAGAAGAAAAACATACAGCTTGTCTGTTCTTGACAAATGGATATTAATTGATTAATTAATAGGAAGATTTTCCACGAGATTTTTCCATGGGTTGTTATAAACGAAGATCAAATATATCTTTAATAATTATAATCTTTAATAATTATGAATTAAATAAAACTATACTTAAAATAATAATATATAATGTAATTTCAAACTTTATGAATTGTAACAATAATATATAATATCCACAATATTTAAATTTTATGAAAATAAATTTCAGAATTATTGTATTATTAGATTTTTAATTTTTAAATTCATATTGAACATCTAATTTTGATCCTTTAAAAAATTAGAGTTAAAATATACCAATCAGAATTATGATTGTTATATTTTAATATTTTCAATTTATTAAACTATATATAATCGAGAAAAAATATATTTGGCGATTATTCTTTTGCTTCTTCTCTTTTATTGGATTGGAAAGCGTTTATTCGCCATTGAATTCATCCACGAAATACATAGAGTAATATTTACAAAACGAGAAATGGGTCAGATATTCATTGAAGCTACGGTACAAAAGACAGTATGTAAAAATCTGAAAAATATTGTTATGCAATAGAGAACAAAATGTCTGGATTATTTTTTCTTTCCTGTCAATCAATTTAACTTTGATCGATCGTCGAAATAAACACATAAGCGTTAAAATATAGTATATGATAATTTATATCAGAATAATCTTTTAACAATTTTTATAAAGATATCAATGATCAATTTGTTAAATAAATAATCGGTTACATTTACTTTGTTAAATTCAGAATTCATTCATAATCAGATTCAAAAAAATACAATTCAAAATCTCATACAATTCAACCAGCGAACCAATGAATAAGAACAACGAAGATAAGATAATCTTGGCAATCAATTATCACGTCGTCCGCTCTTCCACTCACCGCCATACTGAAAATTTCTCGAGTTTCAAAAAACACTAAATTATTTTAAAAAACATAGCTGCATAAGCAACTGCATAATTCACCAAACAATAGGCACGAAACAATGAATAAGAAAAACAAGAAGATAATCTTGGCAACCAATTATTATGTCATCCACCCTTTCACTCATCGCCATATTAAAGATTCCTCGAGTCCGATTACTAAATACCTCTCCAACCGTTTCTCCCTCTCGTTTCTTCTCTCCTCTTATCACCACCACGCTTTCGGTCCCTCGCCCTTCTTTCCCACCATTCCACCCGCCTCGTTTTCGTCCTCTTTCACTCGCCTCCGCTCTTTCCGTGTCGCGGATATTATTGGAAGCCAGGAGAAGGCTGGCGATCGAACGCTACCGTTGGCATTCCTAAGGGTGGAGGAAGGACATCCGAGGTAATGTCGTTTAAAGGCATAGGCCCTCCTCCATTAAAATACCGCTCGTTCCCGGTAAATCTCATCGGCTCTTCATTTTCGAGACCGTGTACAAAACGTGGTCGAAGCTCGCCCCGTCATGCTAACTAACTGTCCGATTATCCGGAGTAAAATGCCCGGGAGGATGCTTGATCGAAGCTCGCAGAGATCCTGATCTCCTCCACAGGGAACGTTTGTACCTATGAAACGCGATGACGTCGTCGTTCGATCGATTGAAAAACTCGATACACCGTAAATAGACTACTACTGACGTTTGATTTGAAGGAATGGTAGACTTGGTACTATGAGCAGACAAATATTGGGCGGTAGATATTATCAATAGGTAAATATTATTAAACTTGGAAATTGAGAAAATATAAATGTAAGAGAAATTGGAATTGATGTTTAGAAGAGAAATTTCGTGTTTCTTTTAATTCGTAAATATTCGAGCTTAAAAAACTGTGGAAATGTGATATTGTAAGAGAAATTTTATTCGAAATAGGACAGATGTTCGATGGATATTTTACGTGTGAGATATTTATTGAAATTTTTAAAGATAAATTATTCATTTTTAAAAAAAATTTGATAATTTATTTTAAAACGTTCAATGGATCTCATGATCAGGATTATATTTTTTTTTTTTTTTACGTCGATAATATATGTGTTTTATATTTAAATCCTCTTTCAAAATCCGTTTCAGATTTCAATTCAATCGAAAGATATTTTTTATTTATTCTATCATTTTCCAATTTATGAATCTTTTCATTTATTCTGAAATTATTCGATCCTATTTACAATTTAGAAAAAATAAATATAGTGTAAAATATAGCGTAAAATAATATGTTTTAATTTAAAATTCAATAATTTAAAATATCTATAAGTAAACCTAATGAAGGGATTTTTCTTTCTTTTATTATATTATAATCTTGAGTCTTTGAAGTTAAATCCTCCCGATCCGTATCTTACCAGGATTAGAGTTTCGTAGATCTCGAGCTTTAGAGAGTCCAAGCTTTTTAACCAAGACCTTTCAAGGTCAAAGATATTTAATTTTCAATATAAAAGTTATACATTAAACTTTAAATCTTCAATTCAGCTTTAATTCGTTTTGACTACTAAATTATTTATTTCGATTAACAATAATTTATAATAATTTTTCTCAATATTGCATCAAAAATATCTTCATCATTTTAATGTTGAGTAAATGTAACAGATTGATCTTTTTTTTTTTTGTTTGTAAATAATATTTTCCAACATTTCCTAATATTAATTTACATAATTATAATAATTCTATATTTCATATAATAAATTTTTAAATCGTCTTAATAAATTCAAATATATCAATTAAAGTTTCATTCATGTTTCAGAATTTTATTATTATTTTTTTTTTTTATGCATATAAGTTGTAATTCCAATTTTTTTTCCTTTTTCTGTCAACAAATTGCATTCAAATATTAATTGAAAATATCTAAAGCAAAACTGGAAACGCTCGTTATCATTCTAAAATATTTCTACAAAATAACAGAACTGATCATTCTCATGAAGCTGTGCAACGTGGGATAGTCCTTAATCGCATCGTTCTACTTCGATTGACAAAATTCTACAACACAAATCCACGTATTCAACAAAAGGAACCGTTATTTCGGTCCAAGTTGACCAATTTCCTGTTCGTCGAACGTGTCGTGTCCCTGGACTAAATAGCTCGAGAAACTGGGTCCTATTAAGTAACGCTGGGTCGATAATATAGGCGAGGAGAAAAGAAATGCTCGAGAATAAAACCAATTGTGAGGAAAAAAAAAATTGCGAGGGGAAAAAGCGCAAAGTGGATTGAGGAATCGTTGAATGAAAATTGAGAATGGTTTAAGAATAATAGGAAATGACGGATTATACTTAAAAAAATATTTATCTTTTTTAGGCTAAATCTAGATAATTCTTTGGTGTTTGATGTTCTTTTGATGTTCATATTTATGAATACTTTATTAATTTATTAATAATTGATAAGACTAATTATTAATTCTATTAATATATTATATCGTTGGACAAGAAATAATAAGAAATTATAATTATTGAAAATATATTTTATTTCTTTTTATTTTATGACTGTGAAAATTTATTGTTGCATATTAATGTTATAATATTATTCGAAATCTCGAATTTTATCAAAATGAATTATTCGCTTTTTTCTTTCTCCAGATTTATCATGTTTGAAATATATAGTACAATCGAAAAAAATAAAATACGATGTATGATATATTTATCATTGTGAAATACTGGTGTGATTATAATTTCGATATAATTGAAAATATTTTATCAATTATATCAAAAATTTTTATCTCGTACGTTATAATCATTTTATTACACATTTTATACACAATCTTGTATAACATAGTAGATATTCAAATTAGATTCGAATCATCATTTTTCAAATAAATTTCATTTCAATATTTTTCGTATCAAAATTAATCTATAATGAACAATGGATATAGTATAGTTGGTATTCTGAGTACAAAAGAATTTAAATAATTTTTCGAATTTATAATCAATACGATATTATTACGTTAATCGTTAATTGAATCTGTCATTTCCATAAAATTTTAACTTTTTTAATTAATATTGCTTTTGAATGATCTATATAAAAAAAATAATGTATTGTAAACATGTAAATGTCAGCCATAAAAATATCTACGTGAAATAGAAAACACATGTAGGTAGGTTTATTAATATATTTGCAGCTTTTTCACTTTAAATTAAAAAAATTTAAAAGTTTTAAATTCAAGAGAAAAAAGTGATCTTCATTTTTTAAAAAAGTATGAAAC